GCTATATTATAAAGATACCATCTCCACAAGCAATGTCAGCACTCGATGGAGAATATCTCATTTAATGGAACCATTTGAACTAGCTAATGCTAAAGCTGACATGAATTAGCCCACTTCTAAAACAAGATTAAAAAAAGAAAAAAGAAAAAGGAAAAAAAAAAAAGAAAAGAAAAAAGAAAATCCAACAAACTTAACTGCAATTGAACCTCAGTTCCATAACCATCTCCATTAACATTGCAGCAACCTGAAATGACAGGACTGGCATAAACCACCCAAGGTAGGAAAAAAGGCACGGAAGAGAATCACCTACATCATCACTAAGTGCAAAATTCCGACGGAATAAATTCAACCCCAAGTAACGAGGAAAGAGCAAAATCCAAGTCAAGGCACAACGCTCTAACTCAATGCTTAGTCCCACGGCCTTCAAATTTGGTATTCCTTAACTTGCTTGCCTCTTTGTGTACAGAACGATCACTGGTAGTTCTGCAAAACAAGGCAAAAAGAAGAATACCAAATAAGTATGCATCTCTCACCTTTGAACAAATCATGAAATTAACGTACCACCATTTAAGGACTTACATTTTTTGTTTCTTTGCATTCTGCTTGATGGTTGCAACCATATCCATAGCATTCTTCTGGTGCTCTCTAGATTGTGAGTGCATGTCCAAGCCTTCTACCGTTTCACAATCTACTTTACAGATGCGGCACCATCCTACGCTAGCTGGTTTCCTCCGTCTATCAAAGGGAACCATATCATCCTAAAGAAACCCCTGGTTAGAATGGAGGGAAAACAATATACCCACAAACCTTATGGTTTGTTAAGGGTAATATTTCACACTATTTGAATAAAATAAACTTAAAAAACTAATACTCAACTGCATAGCTCCCACCATCGGTAGGAAGTCCTTGAAGGGAAAAGCTACTCCTAAATCCAGGCTCACCAAGTCGTGGAAGACGGAAATTACCAGGCCCACCAAATTCTCCTATCCTTTCATGGCCAGAAAAGGGACCAAGACCGACTGGTTCACCAAACCGCAAATGACCAGGCAAATTACGTGGACCCAAATGTTCTCCCCTCCTTAAGTGACTCGGCACAATATCTTGACCAATCAAATCACCACTCCTTAAATGCTCAGCAATGGGCAGATTATCACCATTGTGTGAATGGCTCCCCAAACCTGGAAACCTATCATTGAAACGGCTTTCCCTACCATCAATATCATCACCATGAAAGCTTCTAAATTCACGTGTGTGTATGCCAAGATATTCTCTACCCGGACTTCTAGAAGCAAAACCGTCCATATGACGTTGACCATACCCAGGAACTGGTCCATGAAAATCTAGTCTACCAAGAGTGTCTTCATGAAAACCAACTGACCTTTCTCCTGCTTCATCAGGATGCAATCTACCCCCAGGATGGTAGGGAGGTAAGAATCGTGAAGGGCCAGATCCAACAGCAGGATCATAGGGCAGTCCATGCAGTCCTTTCTCACGAGGCCCTGGTCCTACATCCATGCCAAAACCATGATGACCCCTATCAAGGGGCTTTGATGAGGAAAAGTAGCTCCCAAATTTTGTAACAGAATCAGCATCAAAATGTGAAGACCTAGGAAAATGCTTAACATCTTCAAACCGTCCTCCATCACCAAAACGAAGGGCAGGATCCAAAGGAAATGGATTTGATCGCTCATCTGGCACAGGCTTTAACCTTTCATCACGAAACCCAAATCCTGGTGTGGAATCAAGGCCAGGGGGCCCATTCATTTTCATCGTACTCTTCGAGAGCATTGAAGAATCAGGTCGTCTGCCATCCATATAATGCTGACCAAACTGACTTTCAGGGCCATATGGTGATGTGCCATAAGAGTCAAAAGCAGGTCCTTGAGAGCCGTAACTTGGTCCCCTTCCAACCAAACCAGGTGGCAAGTTTTCAGGGGGCCCTGGAAATGCTGCATGTCCAGGACCCTGTGGCCTCAACTGACCAGGAAGAAGTCCTTGCGTTTGTGCATGTAGAGGTGGCCCTGCCAGAGGTCCTTGCAGCATTCCAGGTAAAATAGGCCTTTGTTGGGGGCTATTCACTGTATATTGGCGTAGTGGAGGTTGGTTCCTTCCCTGATCAGCAGTTGGAACTGAATGAGAATGTTGCTGATTGCCCACAGGCTGGCCCTGACCTTGAAGAAAACCTCTGAATTCATCAGCCCCAGGGCGTTTTGGAGCACCCTGGTCTTGAGGCAGGATTTTATCTTTCTGTAACTTTCCACTCTGTTCTTCACCATATCCACCCTCGTGCAATGGGGGACTATTCATTAAAGGGCCATCCCTAACTCTCTTGTCCTCTGAAACGGAACTCTGCAGTTTCCTGTGCTCAACAATAACATCTTTCTGGTCCTCAGTAGGTTCTTCCTTAACTGTCTTCTTAGTTATAGGATCCCCAGTTTCTAGAGCATTTGATTCAAGGTTTGAACCCAACACCTTCTTAGATTCCATTTTCTCCTTCATTGAAGGATCAATCCCACTGCTTTTTTCTCCAACATCAACAAAAATTTTTTCATCCATAGTCTTCAAATCAGTTTCAGACATTGGAGTTTTTGTTTTGCCTGCATCAACTCCAATACCAGATTCCCTTTTTGAGTTATTTGTATCCAAATTAGCAGCTCTCCATGAGGACAAATCAACCTCTCGTGCACCTAAATTTTTCTCTGTAGTGGTCCCTGGCATAATTTTCTGACTTGGAGATGGTTGGCTAGTACCAAGTTGTGCAGGCTTAGCCTGCATACTGGCAGCTGATTCTGGATATTGCTGAGATTGCACCCCACTGGTTGGCACCAGTGGTCTCCCAACAAAGTTTTGAGAAGGGTGAGGATGTGCACCCTGAGATAAGGCAAGATTCTGCTGCTGCTGTGGATACGCATGAGAATGTTGCTGGAATGAATGATGTGGGCCCTGAGGGCGCAACTGAGGCTGAACAGGAAGCTGTTGCTGTACAGTAGGACCTTGCTGATGCATTTGATTCTGAACTGAGGTGACATGTTGACTTGAAATAGGTTGTTGCTGAACATACTGCTGAGACATGGGAGATGGCACAGGCAGCATGCCTGGTCGCTGGTTAACAGGAAGACCAGGATGACGAGCATTGGGATTAACTTGCTGCTGTGGAGGAGGGCCTGGTGACAGCAAGAAAGATGGTGGATGCTGGTTTGAAATTGCAGCATGGGGCTGAGGTGGACGTATCTGAGCAGGTTGTTGAGAGTATGGAGTCTGCATGTGAACTGGATGTTGTAATTGTGGATGAAGGCCAACTTGGGGGGGCATATGCATTGGGGGCTGAGATGCTACTACTGGCATTTGCTGGTGAGACTGGGGTTGTGGATATGACTGATGGCCTGTCACAGCATTAGCTGAAGGATGCTGCATCTGAGGCTGGAAATTGGGATTCAATGGCTGGTTAGGAGTAGGATGCACTTGAGAATGTGGCTGGGACTGAGGCTGAGTCAGTGTCTGTGGCTGAACTTGCAAATGAGGTTGAGGCTGGGGAGCAGGATATGGTTGAACCTGAAGATGAGAATGGCTCTGGGATGGTGGTTGCGTCTGCGATGGCATTTGAGAATGTGACGGCACCACTGGTTGAGGTTGTGGCTGTTGGATGACTTGAGCCTGCTGGGGTTGAGCCAGAACAGGAGCCTGAACAGATGGAAGAGTTTGAGGCTGTACAGCCTGTAGTTGTGGCTGGGATTGGACTTGAGGCTGAACCTGTGGTTGCAGCTGCACTTGTGGTTGAGCTTGGGGCTGTGAATGTATGTACGCCTGATGCTGGCCAGCCATTTGTTGTGCAGGAACCTGCAACTGCTGCTGGTATTGTGGAATAGCCTGCTGTTGATACGGGTAATATTGCTGATAATAGGGATCATAACCAGGATACTGCTGATAATATTGCTGATATTGTTGTTGCTGTTGTTGATACCACTGTTCTGAAGTAACCACAACAGCCTGAGTTACAGCTTGGGCCTGGGAATTCGAGTTCGTTTGCTGACTGAGATCCTGTCCAGCTGTAGTAGCTGTACTAGTTTGAGGAGTCTGGGCCAGAGAAGTAGTTGTTCCAGCCTGAGAGGCAGCCAGGGTCTGATCACCAGTACCTGAAGTGCCAGAAGCAGCAGCATTCTGGGTACCCTCAACCTGCTGTGCTTGAGGCTGCACACTCTGAAATAACAGAAGAATGCATATTAAAAACCAATGCTGCAAAAAATATAACCACAATATTAACAAAGTGATCCATATGAACTCACAGGACAATTCTGAGCATGTTCCAGAACTTGGCGATGAACAATTTGAAGGCCACATCTGTTGCATACTACAGGAGAGTTGCCAAAGGCACACCCAGAACAATGGGCTGTGCATTCAGAAAAAGAGCCTTGCCATGTGCACCCACTCTTATGGTATAAGCAATGAACTGTAACTTTACCGATAGTTTCAGCAAGTGCTTTGTTTGACTCCAGTAGTGGCTGCAATTTCACAGAACAAACATAACAACGAGCAGACAAAGAAAAATAAAAACATTGTTAGGAGTTTAGGACATTATAGAAAAAAGGGAGTACCTTGGAATCTGCTTCTGTTACTAAGTAACCATCGTAAGGGCAAGCCCTGGTGGTGCCGGCAATGTAAGTTAAACAAGGCTTGCAGTACAGGTGAGTGCACTGAGATTGTAATGCTTCATTCGGGTACACAAGGAGACGACAAACAGGACAGAAATACTCTCCAGCTAGAGATTGGATGTTCAAGATGCATTCGTTGTCAAAACCCATTCTTTCCTACGAATTTGCCTCTTATCACCCAACAAGCATAGACACAATCAACATAAACAAATGTTTAGTATTTAAAGAAAAAAAAAGAACTCAAGAAAATGTTTACAGCAATTTCCCGCATTCATCGACCAACAGATTCGAGATCAATCCAATAGATCGCATACCTGAAATTCTGTCAGATTCGAGAGCTTAAACCCTAACCGAGTCCCGAAACACACCTGCAGATTCCAGTTCTTGGGAAAATTAAAGATCTAGGGTTTTCAGTGATGATCAAAATGTAGAGTAAATTTAACGCAACGGTGTGCGGTGGCGCCGGAATTTGACAGTTAGAGGAGGCGAAGCAACTGAGCTGGCGATGGAAAAAACCAGATGAAGGGATTAAGGCAGATGCTCCGCTTTATATACTTGATAAAAACTACTGGAATGAAACAGTTTTTTTTTTCGCTCTGATTCTCTTCGGACTTCGGTCTTGCCATAGTGGATGACGCGTTTCTGGGCTTAACATGGGCAAACGTAACAGCCGGGGCAGGTGATCGTGACTTGGGCTGAACTTCGGCTGTTGACTGAGGCCTTACCTACGCAATGCACGGGCAGGTCATGGGTATGGGCCGTGTGGCAAGTAAATTAGGCCACATTGGCCCAAACTCGTTTTTTACCTAATACTTTTTTAAAAAAAGTTAAAACCTCAATTTCATCCCTCTACTTTAGTAAAAAATCTTTTTTAATCTGTCTACTTAAAAAACCTTTCTTTAATCCTTAAAATTTGAAATTTGACTCATTTTTAATTCTTTTATTAAGTTTTAACATTAAATGACAAAAATTTCAAAGTAGATATACCAAAATAGGCTTTTTTCCAAAGTAGAGGATCAAATTGGAGCTATTTTCAATCTCTTTTCTTTGGTTCATTTACTTTGAAATTTCAATCTTTTAATGTGCCACATTTGCAAAATTTAATAGAGGGATTAAAAAAGAGTCGAATTTCAAACTTTAGGATCACAAAGGGACATTTTTAAGTAAAGGAATTAAAAAGGAACTTTTTCTCAAAGTAAATGGATCAAAATGAGAATTTAATCTAAAAAAATAGTAATATAAGAACAATTTTTTTATATTATATTTTTATACAATTTTTACATATCATTAAATGAATGAATGCACTTAATATAACATATTTCAAATAAATAAAAAAAAATTAACCATTTAAATGACATATAAAATTATACTAAAAAATAATACAAAAAATTGTCCCTAAATCATTAAAAAAAGGGAAAAAGCCAACAATACCAATCCAAGACTTGGAAATAGAGAAGGGAGAAGCAGAAAATTCATGATTCAACTGCACGCACAATAGAAACAACATGCCTTTTAAGCTACGGCGTTGCCTTAAGGGTGAATATGAAAGTGATGTTAAGAAAATGTAAAGAGGACGACGTGGTGGATCAAAAGCAGCTGGGGTGATTCAATGAGCTTACGACCTACATAAGAATTTAGCAGATAATTTTGTCGTGGCCGTTGATTTTATGCACGTATCAGTTAACGTGTGCATTCATTTTTCTTCTTCTGACGATGGTGAGGTCTGAAATGGACTCACCTCACCTATAAAATGCGCTACGGCTGTTTTGTTCATGTTTTTGTCTTGCTGCTAAACACAAGAAATGTAAAATTATTTACTAATAATATCCGATTCAAAGAATCCAATGCGATCAATATCATTACCTGTAAAAATTGTACCAATAATAAATGAATCCAAAGACAAGTTTTCAACCTAAAACTAATTTATAATAAATGAGTAGCCGATATGATTATGAAATTAGGGACTAATAATTGATATTAAATAAATTAATATATAATATTACGGATTTTAATAAAATAAAAAAAATTAATTATTAAATAATATAAATTTTATATTTTAATATTTTAAATGACATAATTAATATATAATTAATCCTAAATTTTGATCATGTTTATCATTATTTATAATAAATGAATAGGTCTTGTTGTATTTAATTCATGTCCTTTTGTTTTTTTTTTTAATGTGTAATATTATCACTTAATAAAATATTAATAGTACTAACTATCTAAATAATACAATAATTATTTTTTTACGCTGCATAATAAATAGATGAGATAACATATATTTTTTAGTAGATTGGATAAAATGAAAAATGGGGTAGTTCGTAAGTTTAGTATTTTACAATTTAAGGGAGTATTTGGTTGGAAGTTCAAAAAAAGACTATAAATTGTCAACTCTAATCAAATGGTACATGGTACATACATTTTGAATTATAAATAATCAATTATAAATTGTCAACTCTAATCAAATGGTACATACATTACCGAACTACTAGACTCCAAATCCTACGGAAATTTTGCCAAAGGCGGACACATGCGATAGGACCCAACCAATCGTCGTCTCCCCGTTCGGCCGAAAAAATCAATGTCTCCCTTCCTTCCTTCCCTTAAACTCAACCCATTCCATCTTCCTTTCTCCTGACTGCATTAAATATCACAACTGAGCCCTGCTTCAGCTTAAAACCACTCCGATTCTTAAACCGGAGCTTGTATTCCGTTGCGAGGTACGAAATTCCTTCCATATGTAAATCTCTGGTTTAATTGTTCTACAGTTAATTCATCAACTGTGGTTGGTGGTTCTTGATTCTTCATTCTGAAATATAAATTCTTGATTTTTGGGAGTTATTCGGTTAATTTGATGGTTATGATCGTTATTTCGACTAAATTTAACTGACTTATCTTGTCAATTTGACTGTTATGATCGTTTTTAGCTTATCTAATGACCTAATCATGTTGGGTTCCAGTTTTTAGGTGAAATGATGTAGATGGTCGGGAAATTTCTTTTGCCCGCATCAATTTTGGTTTGATGTTTGAAATTTTCAAGTAACCAAAAGCTCCTGGGTTTAAAACCAAATAGGGCAGGAGAAAGAAATGATGCAAGATCATGCTTAAACTGACTTTGGTATGATTAGTGAAAATTTGTTGTTTTAAAACATGTAATTGCACTGATTTTAGATGATACACAAGGGTTTTTGCTTTCCTTTGAATTGCGCATAAGACCATTTGTATGTTAACGTGGTATTTGTATTTGATGAAGCAGAATGAGAAGAATTGATTAAGCGGTTCTTGGAAACTTGGTGAGTTCATGATGGGGTCCCTTGCTTCTCTTGACTGTTATTTTCAAAGCCCATGGGCTACCATTGGGTTGTGGTTGTCTTTGGTGCTCATGCTGCATCAAAGCATGGGAGTGTTCTCAGATTCCAATTACTTGATTGGGCTTGGAAGCTATGACATCACAGGACCTGCAGCCGATGTTAATATGATGGGATATGCTAATACAGAACAAATTGTTTCTGGGATTCACTTCAGGCTGCGAGCTCGTACTTTTATTGTTGCACAACCTCAGGGAAAGCGAGTAGTGTTTGTAAATCTTGATGCTTGCATGGCTTCACAGCTTGTAACACTAAAAGTGATTGAGAGACTAACGGCAAGGTAGTTATCTTCTCCAAACACTACACCATGAAGTAACTTAGTATACATTACAGAAGTAGAAAAGATACAGGCAGAAAACAACTTCTTAGAATGAAGATTATGTATAAAACTTGGAGCAAAATGAAATCTAGATGCAATTTCCTTTGAAGTAACTGAAATCAAATACTTCCTTCTGTGGTCTATGGCTTGGATTTGTATTTTGTAAGGTGTTTTGACTTTTTATAGCCATCATTATTAAGTTCTTGTCATATTGGCAGGTATGGAGACTTGTATACTGAAAAGAATGTTGCTATCAGTGGTATCCATACACATGCTGGTCCTGGTGGTTATCTCCAATATGTTGTGTACATTGTAACATCTCTTGGATTTGTTCGCCAGTCATTTGATGCACTTGTTGATGGAATTGAGAAAAGTATTATACAAGCTCATGAAAATTTGCGGCCAGGATCAATTTTTGTTAATCAGGGTAAAAGACAGAAGTTTTTATAGAAACTGCATTGTTTTCCTCTTTGCAGATGTTGTGCATGGTTGTCTAGTGAGAGTGATTGAAAGGAGAATACCTTACTCCCTTCTCTTAAGTTTTTTATTAAATCATTTATGAAAGGTTTTGATGCTGGTGTAAACCTCAGGATCAATTATGTATTTGGTTTTGTCTTGCTGCTTTTTAATTTATACTTAAAGGTTTTGGGTTTCAACTTGTAGGAGAGCTGTTAGATGCTGGTGTAAACCGCAGTCCCAGCGCCTATCTTAATAATCCTGCAGCAGAGCGCAGCAAATACAAGTATGATGTTGATAAAGAAATGACCCTTTTGAAGTTTGTGGATGATCAGTGGGGTCCAGTGGGTAGCTTCAACTGGTTTGCAACTCATGGAACATCAATGAGTCGTACAAACTCATTGATCAGTGGGGATAACAAGGGTGCGGCAGCTCGATTTATGGAAGACTGGTTTGATCGGAATGGTACTGGAAGCTCATATCTTAAGGAATCTGAAGGAATCCCTCGAAGGGTCTCAAACATAATCCCCAACCTTCCTAATAATCGTAAGTTACCAGCTTTCACTTTTAATCATTGAATGCTAACTTAAAAATTGTGTAAGAGGGGTTATTTGAATATTAAACAGTTAAAATATGGCTTCACTCTAATGGATATTTGGTCTATGGTAGAAAGCTGCAGAAACAAATCATAAGTCTATTATATGTTGCACCAACTCATTGATGTTCTGGGTTCACACATTAAATGTTTCTGCTAATGAAGCTGAACTGAAACTGATCCTATTGACACAATTGCAAATTAACCAGTCTGTATTCTATATTAGGTAATTGTGTATGTGGATATATGCTACTAATGATAGTGATGTTATTGTTTCAGTAATTTGGGTTGACACGATAATGCTCAATACTGTGGAGATTGCAGCTGCACATACTCATGACTAGTTTTTCTTTTCTTTTCTTCTTAATCTGTTACTTAGCTAATAATTCATTGTGAACTTCATTGCCTCAAAATTTGGGAGTTTTGTCTCTAGATGCCTGCATTTGTATGAAGTGTTTCTTCTAGCCATCACATCATGCATTATGTCTTTGAGAGTTGTAATCATCAACTCTCATGGGTCAGATAAGATATGATTATGCACATAAACTGATATATCTAGTAAAATGAACAGAAGATGATGACTGATAACTAAAAAAAATTTCCTTTGTCTTTTTGGTGCAGACCATGAGTTACTGGAGCTTGCTGCGTCCTTTCAGTCTTCTCCTGGCAGACCTGCAACCAGGACTCTGAGTGTTGCAAGACGTGTCAGAGGTGCTCTGAGACAAGCTGACAAGCCTGGTTTTGTTGCTGCATTTTGTCAATCAAACTGTGGTGATGTTAGCCCCAATGTGCATGGAGCATTCTGTATAGACACTGGTCTTCCTTGTGACTTCAATCACAGCACTTGTGGTGGGAAGAATGAATTGTGCTATGGTCGAGGACCAGGGTAATACTACCTCTTCTAGCTCAGCATCTTTGTCTGTTTATTGGCAACTAAAATTCCATTGTGTCCTTCACTTGGCAGTTCTGATGAATTTGAAAGCACACGTATTATTGGAGAAAGGCAATTTAGAAAAGCCCTGCATCTTTTCAACAAAGCATCTGAACAGTTACAGGGGAAGGTTGACTATCGCCACACCCATCTAGACTTCTCCCAGCTTAATGTGACACTTGCTAAACAGGGAGGAGGTTCTGAGGTAGTAAAAACATGTCCTGCTGCAATGGGATTTGCTTTTGCTGCAGGAACAACTGATGGGCCTGGGGCGTTTGATTTTAAGCAAGGAGATGATGCGGTAATCAGTAGCTGCAGCATTTAAATTGTGCTCTATTCCTGCCAACTCTGAAATGATAATATTTTACCTTGATATCATACCAGGGGAATCCTTTCTGGAGGCTGGTGCGCAACTTACTAAAAATACCAGATAAAAAACAAGTTGATTGTCAGCATCCAAAGCCCATCTTGCTAGATACCGGTGAAATGACAAAACCATATGAGTGGGCAGTAAGTTGTTACTCTTGTCTTGACATAACTAAATTAAGGTTTTTCCTTTTCTTTCTTTCTCTTTTGGTATGGTTCTGGCATGCAGGGACTTCTCCAATTTTTAGGCTTAGGTGTTTTTAGTCTTTCATCTTTTTAGTAGTTATGGATTTATAGTCACATTTGGGGACTATATACCCCAAAGATATTTTAGTGATCCACAGTTTGGGATTGAATGCTGAACTAATGCATTTTGTATATTTATTTCTCAGAAAGTTAAGCAAAAATAACTGCTTAGCTATTAGCTACAGTGGTACTAGGATCTAATTTGGTATGGATTTCCTGTCATTATATTTGCCATGAGATCTATGTCATCTGTTTCTAGCTTTTATGGACCTAGAATTACATATTATATAGCTATTAAGCTGATATTTGTTTGTTGTTGATATTTGCAGCCCTCAATACTTCCAATCCAGATCCTTCGAATTGGGCAGCTAGTCATTCTCAGTGTACCTGGAGGTAGCTGCATTTCTTCTTCTCTTCATTTTTCATTAGTATCAGCACTAGGGATGGTTGTTTTGTTTCTTAGCCAACTCATGATGCTAATACTCTAGGTTTTGAATTGCCTTGTTGAATGCTGAAAAATGGAAAAAGCAAAGATCTTTTTTTTTTTTTGAGCAGGGGTAATTTTTGGGAATTGGGGAGGGGGAGGGGGAGGGGAAGGGGAAGTGTAGGCAAGGGGACTTGAACCTGGGCATGGCAGTTAGATCACTGGTCAGGTGACCAACTGCTCTGGTGGCAAAGGTTCGAAAAAAAGGAAAAGATTTAGGCAGTGAAATGTGGTCATCTTGAGCATATACCATTTAATCTGTTGGAGAAATTATTCTCAGTATGGGATAATGGAACTAGCCTCCCTGATCTTAGTTCTACTTCTAGTTCTTTGTTCACTTTTTCGTTTTAATTCATAATAGAGAAATATCAATCAGAGTTTGTGTGGAACCTAATACATTGTGTGGGAAATCAAAACTTTGGATGACAAACCCAGTTAATTGTTATTCATCAAATCATAGGTATTTATACATGTAAGATGCTGTGATTGATTATAATGATCGTATTTGCTTCCGCAAGGCCTGCTTTCATACTGAATTACAACCAATCCTGCCTTATATAAGCAAACTTGCATTGGGCTGGACTCTGGAACACCCTCTCTTCCTTCGTGCAATTGAATATGGGAGCTTAGCTTTAAATATGTCCTTAAATATGGGAACAGTTTTCTTCTTTTTATTCTACCTGCTAGAACTTGTGGAATTCTCTTGGAAACATGTTTACTTCATTCTCTGATAATTTACGTTGATTTATGAATCCTTCTTGCCTTTGGAAGTTGGCGGGGATGTTTTACATGGTTGTTTTATTTGTTGAAGTCGCTTGCTGAGCACTATATTTCATGGTTCACTTTCTTCTGCTGAAAGGATGGATATTTTTTTTTTTTCTTAACAGAATTTACAACAATGGCTGGGAGGCGTCTTCGTGATGCTGTGAAGGAAGTGCTTGTAAGCAGTGGAGAATTTAACAGTAATATTCATGTTGTTATAGCTGGGTTGACAAACACCTATTCGCAGTATGTTACCACCTTTGAAGAGTACGAAGTGCAGAGATATGAGGTGAGTGGTCTCTCATGGTAATAGATATGTGTGGTTTACTCGTTGCTATTACGTCTGCTAATTAACCATTGCAGACTTGTTTTGATCCAAATCAAGCATTGAATATCACATATACTCATCTTATTGCCCATCAGTTGTATGTGCACTAGCACACATGGATTAAAAGTAAAATACAGAGACATACGTGTTTACTTGAATAGAGAAATCCAAATAGACTGTAATTGTGGTCATTCTTTTATGTGGTAGGGCAGTTTAAAATTATTTAACTGTTCTTATGTTTCTCAGGGTGCCTCCACACTGTTTGGTCCACATACACTCAGTGCTTACATTCAGGAGTTTAAAAGGCTTGCATCTGCTTTCATCAAAGGCCAACCTGTTGAAGCAGGCCCGCAACCTCCTGATCTTCTGGATAAACAAATAAGTTTCCTTACTCCAGTTGTGTTGGACTCTAAGCCTTCTGGTGTAAACTTTGGAGATTGCAGCTCTGATGTTCCTCTGAACTCCACATTCAAGAGAGGTGACACAGTGACTGTTGTCTTCTGGTCAGCTTGCCCTAGGAATGATCTCATGACTGAGGGAACATTTGCCCTTGTGGAGATTCTCCAAGGGAAGGATACTTGGATCCCAACTTATGATGACGACGATTTCTGCCTTCGCTTCAAGTGGTCGAGACCTTCTAGGTTTAGTGCCCGAAGCCATGCAACCATAGAATGGCAAATTCCAGGGTCCGCCACTCCTGGAATCTACAGGATAAGACATTTTGGTGCTTCAAAGGCCTTTATGGGATCAATTCGACATTTCACCGGAACATCTAGTGCTTTTGTGGTAGCCTGAAAAAGAACATCTGCATATATATATATATATATATATATATATATAGCGTGGGGTTTTTTTAATTTGAGAGCACTATAATTTCAAAGTTATGTACCTATGATGCTGAAACTTATGTACCCCGTTGGTTTATCTTGAGTGAAATTTTTTTAGAGAATTTGTTTCAAATTTAATTTTTTAATTAATATTTTTAAAAATCAACCTATTCAGATAAATTATGCATATCAATTTTTAAATTGTTTTGGTAAGCCTAATTCAATCTTTCCTCCACTATAAGAAATTTATCACCATAAAATATATATAAATAAATCGAGCTTTTTAATTAAAAATTATAAATGTTAGATTAATTAACATGCACAGAACATTAAATTTAACGGTGGATCATGCTGTCGAGTTTTACTCCTGATCCTACGAATTTGTATAATGCTCCTGTCCAACGTATGATTCACTGGGACAGGTCGTACTTTAAACTCAACACTAAGGCTCTGTCATCAACAGCCCCAGGACTGCTTCGGCTGGAAACCTTATCTGAGACCATCAAGGCAACTGGGTTCGTGTTTTTGCTAGGAAGATTGGTTGCACCACTAGTCTTGCCGCTGAATTCTAGGGCATTCGGGATGGCCTGGTTATGGTCGAGCAGCTTAGCATTCATAACTTAGTTGTTGAAATGGATTGTTTGGTTGCATATCATCTGGCTTTCTAAAGAACCTGATCCTTATCACCCCTGCTGACCCTGATTTTGGATTGCAGGGACGTTTTGGCAGAAATTCCAGCCGTTCAAATGTATCACTTGTTTCGGGAAGCCAATCTATGTGCAGACCAACTTGCAACTATGGGTCAGGATCTCCCCTGCTCAAGATCTTCCTGCTAATTTAGTGTATTTTGACGCTTGCCCGCCTGGGCTTTTGTTGTGTTATAATGCAGAGAGATGGGGACTGAGTTCCTCAGGAACTAGTGTAATCTTTTGCTGTTTTAATATTATCTCTCTTGTTCACCAAAAAAGAAAAAAAGAAAAAAAGAAAAAAGAAAAAAAACAATGTTTCACTAATTTTTCGGGGATTTGCTTATTCTAAGAGATTATACCCTAAAATCTTCACTACAATTCCATCCTAAGAACAAGTACCATTCTTATTTTGGCGGATCAACCGGACAAAATGGGTCTTTTTTGCTTGATTCCTCTTTTGTTGCGTCGGAGCATTGCCCTCCTTTGTTCCACATGTGGGGTGCATTCTTGCATAGTATGTCTAACTTGAGGAGAATAGAGAACAAATTATAATTTAATTAATTAAAAAATCATTTTTATTTCTTTTTTGTTTTGTTTTTCTTAATTTAAATATACAGTTAATGTAATTGTTTTGTCAGTTTATTTATAATATTATTTTAATTGCCAAAAAAGAAAAAGGTTTCATGTAGTTAAAGATGCACCCCATTGCATTGCCTTAATGTATCACAAGAAAAAATAAAATAAAATCTTCTCAAATGTTGCCCTATACTTAAACTTAAATTTAGCTTATAAAAACAATACTTAATTTTTAATAAATCCAACTTTCAAGTTACTACTCATTAGGGTTTTATACCAATTATATGAAATTTTAGCAAGTGTTGAGTGAGATTGATAATGATTTCTTCTCTGTTTGTTTTAATTGCCAGTTTTGTAATTTTATACTAGTTATATTAATAAAATTTGATTTCTATAAAAAAAAATTGAAAATTCACTCTACCATTCTTAAAAAACTACTCATAATAAATTTAAAATCTAATAGGAGTTTAAAGATAATAATTTTTTGTAACTAAAACTCCAACCACACAGCAAACAGACCTTAATACAATGGGAAAGGACCAAGCCCAACCATGAGTGGATGCCACTTCACTTTACAAAATTGGGGGTATTGCAATGAACAAGAATAAACTTTGGAAACTTTAATGAACTTTTCTCAAACCACAGGGACTAAATACGATCTTAAATTAATCCGTAATGAAATTAATGAAATCAATAATAACTCTGTTTTCCTTTTCTTGAGTAACAGAACAGAGACTCCATCTCCGACATTACCTCCTCAAAAACTTCACACCAAATTCCTCCTTTTTTCTTCCTTCATTTCATCTTCTAAATCCAAGCCCTGAATTCTCTACAATGAAAAGAAAAAATCTCTCCTTTATTCCATAATGTCCATCTTTTGTTTATCTTCCCCTCTGATGATAACTGCTCTGAAACTATTTCTTCCTTATCTGCATTACCTTCAAACTATCCATTGCCAGCCCATAAATCTCGCCGGAAAATCAATATAACCCAGAAACTCAGCCAACTCGCTGGTGGGTTTCTGGTTCCGGGGAACCCCATGGGGCGTTTATTTACTATTGGGTTAATAACAGCTTGGTATTCTTCAAACATTGGAGTGTTATTACTGAACAAATTCTTGCTCAGCAATTATGGGTTCAGGTACCCGATTTTCCTCACCTTGTGTCACATGTTGGCTTGCTCGGTGTTCAGCTACGTCGCGGTTTCATGGCTCAAAATCGCCCCGTTGCAGGGCATAAGATCGCGGCTGCAGTTGGTGAAGATATCTGCATTGGGTCTCATTTTCTGCTTGTCGGTTGTTGGGGGCAACGTTTCGCTCAGGTATCTTCCGGTGTCGTTCAACCAGGCTGTGGGAGCCACGACGCCGTTCTTCACAGCGGTTTTTGCCTATTTGATGACGCGGAAGAGGGAAGGGTGGATTACCTATCTCACCCTCATTCCGGTGGTCACTGGTGTTATCATCGCCAGTGGGGTAAGATCTTAAGAAATGAATTTTGGTCAACAATGTTGCTTTTATTGAACTTCTATTTTGAGGTTGGAGATTTGATTTCAATTGCATTAAATGATTTCCGGGGACTGGACTAGTTGGTTTGAAGGTGCTAAGTCCATATTAATATATCATAATGAGCTATACGAGCATGAAATAATCTGCAACTTTTGGAAATCTTTTTCATGTCTTCATAGTTTCTTTTCCCCTTTCCTTTGCATTAAATCCACAATGTGTTATAAATTATTATATAACTAAAGGAAAATGTATTTGGGTTTCGCGCTAGAACTATTACACTCAGTAATTTAACTATGGTTGAATGCCAGATGAGGGTACTTCTCACTTTGTTAGTTTTTTTTTTTTCTTTTCTTCTTCTCTCAATACCATTGATTAGTGGTCTTATTTATGTCTTATCATACATGGGTGAAGGGAGAACCACTGTTTCATCTATTTGGGTTTATAATGTGCATTAGTGCTACAGCAGCAAGGGCACTTAAATCAGTTCTTCAAGGGATTCTGCTCTATTCTGAAGGGTAATGTTAAAACTTTTTCTGAGTTATTGTTATTTATGATACTGCAAATTACCTAGTAGTAATGTTTATATGGTTGTTACCATTTTCTACAATCTTTAACCTTGGCCAGTGCTAAAAGTTCTTATTTCACCAGGGAAAAGCTTCATTCTATGAACCTTCTTATGTACATGGCTCCAGTAGCTGTTCTTTTCCTCCTCCCTGCAGCTCTTATAATGGAAGAAGGTGTGATTGGGATCACTATCGCACTTGCAAGAGATGACCTGAAGTTCTTTTTTTACCTGCTCTTCAATTCTGCATTAGCATATTTTGTGAATTTGACAAATTTCTTGATCACTAAGCACACCAGTCCCTTGACTCTTCAGGTATTTCACCTTTTCCAATGCTTGGAGTTTTCTTTGTATACATATGTAGCATATGTAGCATGATGCCAAAATTTTGTTCTCTATTTTTTCATTTTAGTTATAATTTCTGACATATTGCAATAACAAAACACTGCAAACCTTACGCAATAAAAGATGACATGACACTTGTAGCATGGTTAATTTGTGCCTGCTGACTTACAACTTCATGTTAAGTCATCTGATGTTGAAGTTAAATACTTTTGGGTGGTTATTCACAAAGTGATGACAGTTGAAACAATATCTCTTTATTAAATTCATCCACATTAGTTGGTTGGTTACCATTTTGTTCCCACATACAAAGACTGGTTCAAAATGGAGAATGTTGATCCCACAGTTATGGTTCATGGTGCCTCTAAAGATTATATTTTCATGCAAGGAAATGTATTGTTCCTAAATATTTTATTTGCGTGAGATTAAGAAATAAGAATACTCTGGAGTGAAAATGTAGAGCTTTCCTTCTGTTCCATATGGTTTAAGCTTAGTTACATTTACCCTGAGCTATTCTAATGGTCATTTATCCTTGTTTTGATTGTCTTGAAAGATTTCATTTTTTGCACCTGTATTAACCCTTTTGAGCCCCCTGAAAAAGTGGTAAAGGTAAAAACCTTAAAAGAAGAGAAAAATATTACCTACTAAAAACAATACCAACTACTATTTGTTTGTTGGTATGAGTATGGAAACAATACGTTGTTCATTTCCAAATTACCGCATTTAGTTATTTGCTTTGAGAGAAATGTATCTGCATTCACACTGAAATGACCGATGCACCTAATCTTATAGGTGCTGGGAAATGCCAAAGGAGCTGTGGCTGTGGTTATCTCAATTTTGATATTTAGAAATCCTGTATCACTTACTGGGATGCTTGGATACACTGTCACGGTGTTTGGGGTCATTTTCTACAACGAAGCCAAGAAACGAAGCATGTGAGACCTTGATGTTGCAGCCTTGCAGGAGATACAATTTTGGTTAATATTGTTTATTCTTTTCTAATTGAGGTTGCATGAAGAATTTAGTCTTTGTTTTGCTGTTCATGGGTTAAAGCTTGCTATACATTTTTTTTTTCTTAAATGGTAGTGAAATTGGGGAAGTATCAGCAGAAATTTTAATTATTGTGTCATAATTTTTATTCACCAAGATGTTGTAACCTTATTGTCATTGATCAATGTACCTTTTTTCCTTCCTAGGATTGTTAACCATGCAAGTTGTTTAAACAAACATGTAAACAAAAATTAACAGGATAAGGCACTGTTTATCATAGATTCACAGCAAATGTGACAAATCCAAGCCTATGTAAGAGATTCAATAATTCCTCTAACCTAACTACCAAATTCTTGGCTACAAGTGAAAATGCCCCTAGTACAAACCTCCAGGGAACATTGACATAGAGAATTGCTGAACATAGATTGCCGTGAACAAGGAAAAGAATTATATTATCGAGTTAAGTTTCAGGTTTTGTCTCTTCCTCATCCTCTTCAATCTTTGGAGCCAGGTAGAACCTGAGGTGACCCATCTCTGCAATCTTGTACTCAACCACAACAGGCATGTCTGAAGAAAGGCTGATTGTAACTTGACCTGACAGTGGAGTTGCCTTCGTAAAGGAGTTCATGTACCTCAATGCAAATGTCAATGATACCGGCTCATGCATTTCTATAATTGTTGATTCTTCTGGCTGCAAATGTTAACCCAAAAATGAATGAAAAAAAAGAAAAAAGAAAAAAAGAGACAGAAATGGTAAGTTATTAGAATTACAATTCATCCAGAACACAACCATGTATAAAAAGCCATTACAAAGCAAATTAGACAATAGACAGATGAATAAAAGAAAAATGAGATTGGATATAAAAACATACTTTGTCAACAGTGGTATTTTGTCTGAGGACAATATTTGCAGTTCCAATGTCACCTCTTGTGGAAAACTTCACACCTTCCTTTGTCACAGAGATGATAACTGCAGCCACATAACAAAACTAAGGTCAACATTTGCAGAAGCACACATGAATAAGATTGACATAAAAAGAAATGGGGATAATGAAAGAAATGGAAAATGTTAAAAAAAAAAAACAAAGGAAACAACATCTAGCATTACCAGTGTCACCAATGCTAGCAAGATCTCTACAAATTCTAGCAAACTCAGCCGAAGGCATCCTAACAATAGCATGAAAGTCTGCTTCTGGAATTCCAAGGTGCTCACTATCAATATCCATCAGTTTCATCTCAAAATCTGAGATCTTGTCTTGTGCTACAAGAATGCAAGTGTCAGTTTCAACCTAACATTAACAACAAACATAATAATTTTTTAGAGAGTTGCATTAACAGTCTTCAAGCGACTAAAATCTACCTTCCAACAAAACAATAAGGCTTATATTCTTCCACTAGTCAGTAATAGATATTGGTAGGGAAAAAGAAAAA